AAATATTAATTTTTTTAAAAATTGTTAACCTTTTTAACCAGAATTTATAAGAATGTGTTTTCATTTCTTAAGAATACCAAACACACTACTCAAAATAAAAAAAAATGAAACAAATGGAAAAAAAACATAATATAACTTCAATCAAATCAAACGTCTGTGAAATCAAACTGTCCAAATAGTATGCAACACTGCTAACAATGAATTCCACATGCTGTTGTGCAAATGGAATAGACAACAGGTGGAAATTATTGGCAACTTCTGCAGAGTGCAGGTGTTATGGGCCCTGGTTTCCTCCTAATGCAGGATATAACGACTCATGTGGCTGGAGTGTCTGCAGTTTCTGAAAGATGAAGTGTGTTCAGTTTCCAAGGCTGCCTTTTCCAAGGACCCGGTTGGAGGTCAGTTAAAATAAGGAGGTCGGAAAAGTTTTTTTAATGGATTTAAACAGGTCCACTTCTCCAGCTTCCAACACCCATATGCTCAGTCGTCTAGCAACCATGACAGTTGACACACAAAGAGGGCAAATAATAGCAACCAAACTTTTTACGACTCTTCTGTGCACTGATAACATTTTTACAGGAGCTTCAGCAGCAGCACCGTCGTCACGAATATCAGATTTATAGTCCCTACACTGCAGAGATATTGGAATATGTGCTTAAATGTCAGCCTTAAATTAACTCAATAACCATTTAAAACAACTATTTTCATTAATTTCAGACAGAACTATTTACATACCAGTATCATAATAAGCCGCGCTTACAATATTCACCATTGTTCGGTGCCATTTACCTTTTTCCTCTGAGCAAAGAGCAGCTGGCTTGCTTGGAATCCCAATGAATAATGTGATATCCAAGGCTACATAGGATACACTGGACCTGTCCTTCAAAACATTCAAAAGAAGGCTGCATTTGTTGCCCGCATAACAAGGCGTCTTCCAATCCGAACAGGCCTCAGCGCCACGCTATGATGAAATCAGCCGACGAATCAGGTCTCCTGAGGACGTAGCATTACGTAGAATTATTTTATCCCAGACCTGAATCTGGGATAGAATAGTTGATAACTGAAGATCATTGATCTCGAACCGGGTACATGCAACCTTCTCAGAGCACAAGCACACTGATCTAGGCCATCCACTCCCCTCTGAGTGGATATCATGTGTGACTTCAAATGCAGGCCTACACTGGTTAATTAATTTGATTATCATTGAGGACGTTGGTGTGATTTTGTTGTCGACACATTCAGCTATTTACAGAACAAAGTATTCAATATGACAATATTTCCTTCATTCAGATCTAGGCTGTGTTATTTGAATGTTCCCTTTATTTTATTGAGCAGAGTATATTATGTGTTTAGTTTTTGTCCAGGACCATAGGTCTATCAAGTCAACTTTTGCCCAAAGGGTATAGCACAATAGATACAAGCAGGCTTAATTAATTCACATGCACACAGGAAGGAAGAGATGGAGGGGGATGGATTCTCAATCCTGCACTTTAAACTCCCCGGCGCCTTATTATACAGATTACTCTGTTGCAACACACCTGATACCAATAAGTTCACAACCTTCTCAGGACCCATTAAGTGCAGCAGAAGCCTGTTAATCATTTATTCATATAAGTCAGGGGTGAAGCAGCAAGGAGA